AGCTTGACGATGGACCACAATAGAAAAAGAAACCTTAGTGGTAATCCCGGTAATACACCGCCTGACAAGATGGGTGGAACCAGTGGAAGGGTGCGCATCATGCTTATAGTGCACTCTCAAGCAGTTATAGCCCGCACGAGCGAGCTCTACGAGTGTGCAATTCGCCGACGCACTCAGGTTGATAGACATCGGTAGCCTACCAAAGGCCTCTCTCGCTCCCTCGTACACTAGACTAGACACCGAGGCATCCCAACCCACGAAATGTGTCTGTTGAGCTGCGTTACGTCGTGCTGCCTTTTTCCGTTACTATCGACACCTACACGTTGGCACAACCAACGAAACGGGTCGTTCGATGGCGGCTTGGCGGTGTGCGAAGAACGCGGTCAAGCCCTTCGCGGCGTCTCTGGCGGGGCCGCACCTCTCGCACCAGTACGTCCATGTGACGCGCCGGTACCACGTCGTCGCGGGCTTTGCCTACGTCGTTTTCTCGCTCGTGACTGCTGCCTACTACCTCCAACTCCTCGCGCCGTCGCTCACCAACGTCCTTTTCTGGCCCGGCTTCAACCAATCTGGGTACCAGGCCTACCTCATTGACGCAGCGAACGCGGCGCTGACGACAGCCTCCATGGCGGCGCCCGTCTCGAGTCCGCTCTCGAGTTATGTGATGCCGACCACATACTATGGATCGTCGACACCGCCGATGACAGCCTACTACGCCACGTACGCAAGGCGCATCGCCCAGACAGAGCTCATACCGCTAAAAGAGGCCATTCCGATGCTGCGCGCCATGCCCATCGCCTATGCCAAAGGCGTGCGCACCCAGCAATGCTGGGTGGACTGGCTCAAAACGTGGGAGGTCGCGCACACGAATGCGCGGCAAGCCCGTTGCGTCGCGAAGTACGCGTCCAACGGCGCTGTCTACTACGAGTCGGTGCTTCGGAACGTCAACGTCACGGCCTTCCTTGCCGCGTACGGAGGCGTCGGCAATGAGTTCACCGTCGCCATCCAAACGGCACTATTGGCCACGCCCGCCGGCCGTGCCTGGCTCGACAAAATGACGACGTTGCGTCACGGCAGCGTCGAGGACGAGATTGCCCAATGGCGCACACACGGCCTGGACGAGTACCGGCATCTATGGCACAACCAATATCGCACGGGTGTGTTTGAGAGCCTCGCGATCGAGAATGCACTTGGCATGACCGAGGCCGTGAGTCTCAAGACGTCGCCATCGACCACCGGTCCATGGACCAGCGTCATTTTGTACTGGCTGCCCGCGAATGACTGGTCGACGGTCCAAGGGCTCAACATGAGTCTCGTGCGAGGTGCGATCAACGACTTTCGACGCACTTATGCGTTTGAGGACTTTCTTGGTGTTCAAAACAATGGCTCGTCGTTCATCAACCAAACCGGCCTCGTGCACCATGGCATTGGACCGTTCCTCTCGATCGATCCGTGGCTGCTGCCCGTGCCGCCGTCGCTTCTCGCGCTGCACACGACGCTCGCTGCATCGTTGCGAGTGCATTTCAGTACATCGACCCGCGCTGCCACCTTTGAAAATCTCGCGGCCACATCCATCGCGCTGCATGTCCCGTCCTGGGATGCATCGTACACGTACTACGGCGGCAACCCACTCTGCCTCTACAATAGCCCGTCAGCCTATCCGCAGGCATCGCTTAGCTTTGAAGACGCTTGCGACGGCAGCGCTTCGTTGCTGACACTGACACTGGCGCCGCTACCTCTTTTGTACACGCTACTGGTCTTGAACGGATCGGTGCCCGACGCTTCGTTGTTCTGTGCTGGCAACGTCGGTTGCGCGACGCTTCTCGATGCAGCCGTGCATGCGGTCCCTGCACTACCCTCGCTGATGCGTGACGACGTCGTGTCGGCGATGACGGATGTGATGCCCTTGAACGTCGGGTTTCTCCAGTTTGCGACCGACGCCAAGGAGGACTGGCATCTCCTCTTTGCGCCGTTGAACGTGTCGCTTTCTGCGCCGATGGCCTGGCGGTTTTCCAGCTGGCTCTTGCTCTTCGACTGGGTCCTTGGCGTGCGCGAGGTCGTGGCCTTTGATGGCGACGCTGCGACGCGCGTCCTTCTCTCGCGCGAGAGCCCACCCCTCGTGGTGCCGGCGGCGGCCGCCAGCGACCTCGGCAGCATCCACATTGGCAACCGCATTGTCTGGTACCTCGCCGTCTACGCCAGCAGCATCGCCCTCTTTGTCGCGCTTCTCTGCGTCGGGTTTGCCGCGCACAGTGCTCATTGGCGCATTGAGGGGCGGAATCTCTATTTCTTCAACCGGCTCACGGCGGCGACGTGGGTCGGCCGCCCACTCACGGTCCTTCGCGGCGGCACAGCGCTGCTGCTCTTGTCGACGGCGCCGTTCCCGCTGCAGCTTGTGGACGGCTATACGTTTCTGCAGTGGCAGCCGCGCCCGCTCCTGCATGTGTGCGTGCTCGCTGGCGAAGCGACGTGGCTCACGTACGTGGTGACCGAGTGCTCTGCGTCTCGAGC